ACAAAATAATAATGAAAATACTGTTATCAAAATATGAATGAAATTAATTACTTAGAGAAAAATTCATAGCCCTAAACACATATATATCAGAAAACATACAAAAAAGGTGAAAAATCAAGGAGTAGGGCATTCATTTCAAGAAATTTAAAAAATAAAAGGTGGAGGATAGGAAACAAGAAGGAATATTTGCAGAAATTAATGAAAGAGAAAGCATACATATGATAGGATCAACAAAGTCAAAAGTTGGCCCCTTAAAAAAGTATTGGGAAAAATTTTCAATTAGCAATAATCACACAGTGGATAAACTTCATTGGCTACAATGCTGCCACCGTGTAAAACTGGTACTTTAAAAAGGTAATAAGGGGCGCCTGGGTGGCGCAGTCGGTTGAGCGTCCGACTTCAGCCAGGTCACGATCTCGCGGTCCGTGAGTTCGAGCCCCGCGTCGGGCTCTGGGCTGATGGCTCGGAGCCTGGAGCCTGTTTCCGATTCTGTGTCTCCCTCTCTCTCTGCCCCTCCCCCGTTCATGCTCTGTCTCTCTCTGTCCCAAAAATAAATAAACGTTGAAAAAAAATAAAAAGGTAATAAAACTGATAACTGTCTGGCAAACTGATAAAAAAAAAGAGTAGAATAACTAATGTTGGGAATGAAAAGTGGGACATTACTAAAGATCTTACAGCCATTAAAATGGTAATAGGACATTCTATAAAAACTTTATGTCAATACCTTTGAAAAAGTAAATGAAGCAGATAATTTCCTACAAAAACACTGTCAAAAACTGAAACAAGTAGAACCAGAAAATATGAATAACATTAAACTATTTAATCTATAAATAAAAACCTTCCCATAAAGAAAACTCTAGGTTCAGACCATTTCTTTGGTGAATTCTAATGAACATTTAAGAAAAATAATGACCAATTTTACACAAACTCTTCCTGAGACTTATAAAACAAAGGAGCCTGGTTTCACGAGGCCAGCAAAAGCTGACCTGTTCCTATTAGAAGAATAATAGACCAACCTTACTATATACAAAATTTCAACAAAATTGTATTCAGTATTCAGTAATATATAAAAAGCGCTATACTTCATGACTAGATTGGACTTATGCTAGCACTGCAAGGTTGGTTGACAGTGGAAACCTATCCATGTAATTTACTATACTAATGGAATAAAAGAGAAAAATCATTTGATCATCTCAACAGATGCAGAAAAAACGTCTGACAAAACTCAATATCCATCCATGATAAAAACTCGCAACAAAGTAGGATTTGAAAAGGAATTCCTTAATCTGCTAAAAGGTTAAAAAGAAAAAAAAGAAAAACCAGCAACCCGCTTTGAACAATAGTGAAATGTTAAGAGATTTTCCTTTGAAATGAGGAACAAGATAAGGATGCTACTTTCACAACTTCTATTCAACATTGTACTTGAGGTCCTAATCAGCTGGTGTAAGGCAAGACAAAGAAATAAAAGGTATGAGGATTGGAAATAAATCAACTATTGTCATTAACAAATGATATAATCTTATGCAGAAGATCTAAAAGAATATATGATAGTTAAGACAGTGTGATACTAGCATAAGATAAATACATCAATGGAATAAAATACAGAGCCCAGAAACAGACTAATGTTATATGGACATCTGACTTATGACAAAGATGGTTAATGTAGAACACTTTTCAACAAGTGGTGCTAAGCCAGTTGGCTACTCACATGGAGTATGAAACCTGATCTCTACCTCATAAATAAAAATCAATTCCAGGTAAACTATAGGCGTAAATGTGAAAGGAAAAATAATAAGGCTTCTAAAAGGCAACTTAGGAGATGTATCTTCATTACACATTCACAAACGATGATATCCAAATGGTCAACAAACATATAGAAAACACCCTTGATCTCATTAGTAATCAGGAAGATGTAAATCAGAACCACAATTAAGATAATACTATATAATAGCTAAAACTATACTGACAAGAGTATATAGTAGAAAATGGTAATTCTCATATGCTGCTGTGGTAGATTTTGTACAATCTCTTTGGAATACAGTTGTCATTTCATTATCTATTAAACAAATGTATACTTGGTGACCTAGTAATACTACTCTTAAATGGATACTTAACAGAAATTCATCTACATGTCCACCTAGAGACATATGCAAAAGTGTTCATAGCAACCTTATTCACAATAGTCCCAAACTGGAAACATCTTGAATGTCCATTAATTATAAACTCTGGTATATATATTTAAAGGAATACTATGTGGCAAAGAAAACGAATGCACTACAACTACACACAATGTGGATGAATATTACAAACAGAATGTTGAGTGAAAGAAACCAGACACAAGAGAACATACTGTAAGATTATACAAATTCAAAAAACAAGTAAGGGATGTATGCTTAATTGTTAGAACCATAAGAAAAACAAGGAAATGTATATTATAAAACTCAGGATGGTGCTTACCTCTGGCAGGTAGGGAGGGTAAAGAGATTGAGAGGGCATAGCAGGGATTTCCAGGATACTGGAAAAGTTCTGTTTCTTGAACTAGATGGAAGTTACATGGGTGATCAATCTGTGATAATTTATGCTTTGGTTCACTTGTCTGTTATATTTTGTAATAAAAATGTATACAAATGCAAGAATTCCTTAATTTGGGGATAACTTAGCAGCTCTGTAGGGAAGTAATGGGAATCAGTGCAGTAAAGAAATACGGTGCATGTGTCAGATACTAATCTGTCCTATTTAGACTTTTTTTCTTCCTCATATTGGAAGAGAAGTCATAAATGCAAATATAAGTCATTCCATTTAAAATTCCTCATGTTCTTGGGTTCACCATGCTCATGTGGTCTGCTCTCCATTGGGATCCATGTTATTAAGGACTAAGTCAGGACTCAGAAGGAACAGGTGTGTTGTGATGGCCCTCCTGAATGTTATACTCACTGAAGTTTTGCTTTATGTGGGAATCACAAACATCTCAATGGACCACACTTCATGTGAAGCATTCCTTCCTTAAAATAAATTTCAAGACACTCTGCTTGGCCTTTGCTCTTGTAAGGAGAGGGGGTGGGGGCGGGGGTAGGAAATACTTCACCAAGGTCACCCACATCACACTTATTTCATCCAACAGTATAATATAGTGCCCCCCCACACACACATATATCCCAACTCCTAATCAGCGTGGTTATGCCATGTAGATGAGGCATTGACTTACATACTTTCCATCTCATAGCACATAGTAATGAATTAGGTACATAATAGGCTCTTAACAAACGCTGTTACTGCCTGTATTTCATTACTGTATACATATTTGAAAAAAAAATCAGTTTTTCCACTGGTATATAATTTTGATTTACATCAACCTTTTCATCACCCAGGAGAACAGGCTTTTTGTTATTCTGTTGATATGTGCAAAATTTATAAATTTTGCCTCCTGAGAGTTGGTGAGAAGCATATTCATATTTTAATTTGGACAACACTGAAGAAGTCAGTTAACTATTCACTAGTGTTAGGCTAAGCTCTCTGGGAGTCAAGCAAAAATTAATAGACCAGTCTCATTCTAAAACAAGTCTGAGAAAGTTGTTGCTTATAATAGCATTTTGGCAAGAAAAATATGAATTTTGCAATTGCAAGCAAATGTGCTAGTTGGTATTTCAATGCTGTTCTAGTAACATCTAAAAAAGGTGTAAGAAGCTTGAGGATTAAAGTGGCTAAACTCTCAGACTTCAGGAGATTTTCTCTTTCAGGCACTCAGCAATTTACTCCTTTCTGTTTTCTTAGCTCCTAATCCAATCTGAAATAGCCAATGGAGAAAAGTAGCAGCTACACAAGAGTGGGGCTCAGTGATTCTAGAGCTAGACTGGATATTTAATGCTGAACTATCTCTTAAGATCTGGAAAGCTGGCATTCAAATCAAGTCCTTCTCATTGTTGCCTGAATTTTTCAGAACTATTAAATAGTTCTTTTGTATTAGTCCAATTAACTCCTGGAATGTCTTTCATAGAGTCTGTGTTATAAAGGTGATTATTTGGAAAGGTGACTTTATTGGGCTTGGAAAGCTTATGACAACCCTTTTTCTTACCGTTCCCAAGACTCATTTTTGAATTGCACATTATGCAATAAGGTATTTTATTTCTATGGTTAGGTCTTTAAGGTGCCTTATAAAAAGTCTACCTAATCCACTGGCTGAAGATGGTTGTGGAGCACTGCCTTTTGAGATCCTATTTTCACCAAGTGCCATTCTCCATAAAGTTAATTTGTAGACAAGCGAGAAGTTCTAAGAACAACTGTTAGGTAATTCTATCTGTAGCAATAAAAAACTTTGCCTCCAATAAGGTAAATAAGGGAGTAGCATTCAGTAATGAAAGAGAATCTCCGTTGCAACTCAGCTTTACGCCCTCAGGCAAGTTCATGTCTCTGAGCCTCAGTTTTTTCAACTGTAAAATGGAAATTACATGAGAATCTCCAGGCGCGAAGTAGGCGATGAGAAAATGATAGCTATTTTCTCAAATGGTTACAGACAACGAGTCAGTTTCAAGTTACTTTAGTGACGCTGCTGGGAGGGGAACATAGGGGAGCAGCAGGAGCTCCTTCAGGAAAAGGATGGCCCTGCTTAAGTTGTCAGGTCCAGCAGCACCCTGGTCCTAGGCGTCTGCCCCAGAAACCTACTCCAGAGGCCAAGGGGACACCCAACGACACCACCCAGGGTATTTGGACACCTCGCGGACACTTGTGGTTGGGATTCTGGTCCAGCCTAGCTAAGTCTGAGCCAATCCGGGTGCAGCTCAAACTCACCTGCTTGGCAGGTGCTCGCCGTCCGAGGCGTGACCGCGGAGGGCGGGCGGATGTGGTGGGCGGGAGCAGAGAATGTGAAGCTCCCGGCGCATGGCACCCGCCGCCCAGTCGCCGCGGTGGCTGCCGGGATGCGCCGCAGCGAATGGTCGCGCCGGGCCGCCGCTCTAACTGACCTTTCACCCGCGCCCAGCGGTCCCGGGCGGCGGCACAAGGCGGAAGCCATGGCGGAGGCGGCGGCTGCAGCGGGCGGGACGGGCGTGGGCACAGGCTGCTGTTCTGCAGCGGACCGGGACCGAGACCCGGACCCGGATCGAGACCGTGCCGGGCGGAGGCTCCGGGTTCTCTCCGGTCATCTGCTGGGCCGGCCCCAGGAGGCTGTGAGTACCAATGAGTGCAAAGCGCGGAGAGCCGCGTCGGCGGCCACGGCGGCTCCCACTGCCACTCCCGCCGCGCAGGAGTCGGGCACCATCCCCAAGAAACGGTGAGTAGCGGCTCTGTGGCGCTGGTTGGCGGCGGGGGACCAGGCCAGGCCTGTGCTGCGGGAGGACATGGGCAAGGTGGAAAGGGAAGTGACACGGGTGGGTGGAAGGCACCCTGTTCGCTGAAAGTGAAGACCCATCTCTGGAGGGAGTGGACGAGACCCTGGACCCTGGCAGGAAGGGGGAGGGATGGAATGGTGGGTTTTGGTCAGTATTTGAGAATAACAAATATGAAGAACTCTCACTGGGGAAGGCTTTAAGGGGACCATTTTTCTTGGATTCTTATTGAATGCTAGGAATTCATTATCTTGAATTAATACTTGGGAGATAAGGTCTTCCATTGGATAGAAAGGATTCTATTATGATCTTCCAAGAAGATTTGAGTTTGTACTAGATGATGAATTTCTTCTAATTTACGCGTCTCGATGCGGTGCGGGGAGAAGTGATGGTTTTTAGAAGAAGGTGCTGACCGGTTTGCAAGGGGCAGGTTTCCACTTGCTCAGGGGCATGGTCTTTGAGTTTGAGGGAGGAAAGGGATGGGCAAGAAGCAAAAGACTTGACACTAGTTAATGATTCTGCTTGCTCAGGGGCATGGTCTTTGACTTTGAGGGGGGAAAGGGATGGGTAAGAAACAAAAAACTTGGCACTAGTTACTGATTTAGGCGGTGGTGCTAGTTACTGAGCTCTGTTGTAACCAGAAGCTGAAAGACCCTTGCCTGTGGATGAGGATGTTTTTAGGAGATCTTGACTTCCTGTTTTTTGGAGAAATCTTAAGTGCTGATGGAAGCTACTAGGAAAAACTTTTCTGAGACGTGGCTTTGTCAGGTGGATGAACTTCGAGAGTGAAAAAAAGTGTTGCTAATGTTTAATGTGTTCTGTCAATGTGCCAGAAACCATGTTAAGTCAGTTATTTCTTTTACTCCTTTCCAAAGTCTGAGGTAGGTGCAGTTATCTACAGATGAAGAAATAAAACAGATTTAGAAGCCTGCTGCAGATGTACAGGTTAGAATTCCAAAGCACATCATATTAACTTTAGGGCTAAGTTCTTAACCTTCACTATGGTGAATTCATTCACTAATTCCACATTCATGAGCCCTTCCTCTGCTACATGCAAAATACAGTATTTAAGGAACTAATAGCCTGTGATAAGATATTTAGCTGATAACCATAGCAAATGGTCAGTTAACCCAGTTTTAGGTATGTATTTGTAAAGGGGAGGGGGCTTCCCAGAGTAAGAATTGAGTAAATCTTGAAGTTTGGGTTAGAAGTAACCTGCCAAAGGAGAAAAGTGTTCTTGGGAGAAAAATAGTGTGTTCACAGGTAAAGCAGTGAAAGACAGATTAGAAAACTGTTGGGAGTTCAGTATGGTGGGACGGGGTGGGAATGATAGAGGAAGAGGGCTGGTGGCCAGTCTTGTTTGCAGGATTTTATGTGGGGAAAACTTGAATGCATTTACCTTTTAGAAAGGTCACATTGGGGGCTGAATTGAAGAAGGTTAAGCAGTTTAGCATGTAATATCTGGAAAGGAAGACCTGAGTTTGAATTTCCACTACATAATTCCAGTTGCATGACATTGGACAAATCACTTCACCTTTCTTAGAGCATCAGTCCTTTGTGAAAATGAGGACAGTAATTCCTGTTTTGCACTATTGCTGTGAGAATTAAAAAATAGAGAGTTAAGTGATCAAGTGCTTAGTGCACTGTCGGTTATATAACCCTTCACCAAAATGAAATGGTAGATGCAATTTTCATGGAGTCCAAAGACAAGGAGACAAATTAGGAGACTATTATTCTGATGAGAATTACTGTGATTCTGAACTAAGGCATAATATTGGGAGTAGGCAAGCCTGTTAAAAAAATTTTAGGACGTAAGTTTTTTATAACTTGGTTACTGAATAGTGGGGGAAGGGAGGAATCAAGGATCCCATCTTGGCATCAGGCTTCACTTGATGTTGTATTAGCCGTCATTGGGTTTAAAACTTTTTTCTTCCTAAATGGCTTCATGTATGTAACAATGGCTTCCTTTGTATGTTTCTGTACATTGATATGATGTTCACATTCTTAGAACTAAGTAGGTAGGTCAGGTGTTCCTCATAGTTGGATTTAGGGGCCTTGGTCTGCAGCAGTCAGAGAAAAATAGTAGTGTTTATAAGGCACACTGGCCTAACAAATGAGGGTTCCCATGGCTAAAGGTGACTGGTCTGTGACTACTCCTTAGAAGACACACCTGTAACCTCTTGTTGGCATAGGTTTGGTTCAGACTTAGGTGTGGCTAGTGGTAAAATCTAGTCCTGTATAACTGTTTTGAAGTTTGACTCAATATATGAGGGAACATAAAAACTTTCATTAAATGCAACATCAAAAGCTCTACTTAACGTATTGTTAATGGGGAACCAAGGTCTCCCTTCTACTCCCTCCTGCTTAGGTGGGCCTCAGTTTGCCAGCAGCAAAGCTGAGTCTAAAGGGAAGATAAATGGAGCAAAGAGCCAGCATGTAAATCTAATAAAGTGTGAGTGTGACTGTATGTCACTTATTTTGGAAGCATTTGGTGATGCATATTATTTGTGTAACTCCTTCTCTCTGATTACCTTAGATGATGTCCTTGGTTGTAATTCTTCTATCTTATGACTGGTTGCCATTATGGAATTGGATGAGTGACTTCTTTTTTAAAAATTTTTTTTTTCAACGTTTTTTATTTATTTTTGGGACAGAGAGAGACAGAGCATGAATGGGGGAGGGGCAGAGAGAGAGGGAGACACAGAATCGGAAACAGGCTCCAGGCTCCGAGCCATCAGCCCAGAGCCCGACGCGGGGCTCGAACTCACGGACCGCGAGATCGTGACCTGGCTGAAGTCGGACGCTTAACCGACTGTGCCATCCAGGCGCCCCGGATGAGTGACTTCTTGAAACTTCATGTTTTCATTTCCTTTACAGGATACTCATGCATATGTTAATTTATTTAATGTTTATATAATACTTGCTTTATGACAAGTATTGTCCTAGACACTGAAAATAGAGAGATGAATAATAATCCTTGGCCTCAAAGAATTCACAATAGTAAGGGAGATACACATTCTAGTACATTTTGAATAGAGCTACTATAAATACAGGTACAGATATAGCACAAAGGAAAGAAAGAGCAACTATCCAGGGGGTCAGGGGAAGCTTTCTGGAGATGGTTTTAAAATACGGTTGAGAGTATAGCAGGTTGATTGGATGGTGAAGAGAATTCCAAGCAAAAGGAATAGCATATGGCAAAGCAAGGGGCATGAAAGTGCGTATTGTATTTAGGTAACTAAACAATTCATATTGTAGAGGTGGGAGTGAAGTAAACAGAGGAAGGCGCTGGCAGGTCATGGAAGCCTTTGGCCTGTAGGTCATCAGTCAGTTAATTCATTCACATATTCACTCATGTGTGAATATTTCAGTGCTTACTGTGCAACATAGCAGTGAACAAAAACTCTGCCCGTATGGACTTATATTTTAGTTGGAGCAGGGATAGCAAAACAAACAAGTAATATGGTATGTCAGATGGTGATAAATGTAATGAGGAAAAATGAAGCAGCGAAGGGGGTTTAGGTAATGGCAAACCCTTGAGGCAGTTAAGCTGGGAAGAGATTCAACTAGATTGGGTTTGGGTTTGCATCCAGCTGCAGTATTAAGAATGGATTGAAGAAAGATAAGGATGTACATAGGAAGACCAGTTAGGGAGCCGTTGTAGCAGTACAGATGAGAAATAATGAAGTATTAAACTGAGATGGTGGCCGTGAGAATAGAGAAGGGAGGATGGATCTGAGTTTTGGAAATTAGTGCATCAGGGGATACTTAACATTATGTGACTATGTGCCAGGGGAATTTGGAGACCATGAAGATTGAAAAAGGATGATAAGAGTCCTGACAAATGTGGATATTTAAGATCGCAACCTGTTGTACTTGTCACATTAGTCTCCTGCGAGTTGGTTCTGATTGCTTCTATCTGGGAACATATATGCTTATTATTTGAAATTACTGAGCAGAGTTTTGAGAGTGATGGTTTACTTTTGGACCTTCTGTTTTTAAGTGCACGCTACTCCATGAACAAATTCTTTTTGGTCTTGTTACTGGATGCAGTTTTAGATTCTTAAAAATCATTGTAAATACCAATTAAGTGTGTGACATTTTTATGCCTTGGTTTTGGATTTTTTTCAGTTTTTAAAAAAGCTATTGTAATGCTACGAAAAAGAGAAGAAAAAATCCCTTGTGACATCCGTTTGTCCTCACTGTTAACGGTTTTCCCAGTTGTGGTTTGGGTTAGTCAGAACTGTTGGCAATTTTTACAGAGGTTATAAATTCTTCTGTTCAGATCAAAAGAAGATCTGATTAAGAATGCTACTAATTGTTTAATTTACTTATACTGCCATTTATAAACACAGTTCTTTAAAAAATAATGTATATTTAACATCTACCAGAAGCCTTGGTAGGTGCTTTCCAGAAGGAAAAAGGCTGAGTTAACCTCTTCTAAATGTTTCCTAAGAACATTTTGTCATGCCAGGTTTCAGCCTTTTGTGATTAAAGAGATGATGATCAAATACAGTGTCATATAGTTAAGGCATTAGTTTATATTGTACTTAATGAATTATAAAATATTGATCCTATCAAAATGCAATTCATAATTTAAGAGAATGTAATGCATGGTTTAAAAAACAGACCAACCTATTTCCTTCTGTGAGTGAATTTTCCTGTTTGATTTGTAGGAGAAAACAATGTTGAGAATAAAAGAGAAACTTCTCTTAGGTGGCAAGTATAATTTTGGGATAGACCACATTTTCTGCAAATAGATTTCTTTATGTCAGGAAGTTACTTAGTATAAAGCCACCTACCCCAGTCACTTAATAAAAATATCTAGAGATAAAATAAGTGATCTATTTTTAGGCTGCAGAGAAATGGAGTGCTCTTGTAGTCAGAGGAGATATTTTATGGAACACTTTAAAAGCAAGTACTAAGCAAATATTACTCCTGTCAA